TAACACTCTCCTATCAGTCAAGGTACTATCAATGTGCTATTAGGAGAACTTTAACCGATTAATGCCATTATACAAAGACAAACAAGCTTAAGAAAAAAAGGTCCGTGCAATTTCGAAATTATCCAAACCGACGATATTTCGATACTATGCGCGCTTAAATATTGTTGGCATTCTTCACCTCTCCAATACATGTACTTATACTGTGACCTCAAATTCCAACTCACTCAATAAAACTCACTTATTTAAAACGATTGCATAACTTCACACTCAAACCATAAATTAACGCAGTGCTGTAATCACCTCACACCAATTAGAGTTCAAAAGGTCAGTGTCCAAGACCCAAATAAATAGAGTGGCACTTAAAGAGTGGCCAATAAGTAGTCAAATGTGCGCATTTTAATGAGAGTGAGGAAAATGAATTGGTTGGAGTGGGCGAGATTGGTGCCATGGTGAAGAAGAGGTGGAGAGAAAGGATGCTTGAGTGTACGAAGGAAAGGACTATGAGGGATTCAAACATGCAAAGAATCACTTCTAGCATGCCGCTCGGTACTTAGACGACAACTTCACTTCGGAGTTCAATCAAATGATGGCAACTCCAACAACAGCTGACACCATTGCAGAACTCTCGGTGGGGGTAGGTGGTCATCTTTTTGTTAATTACTCACAGAATACATCTATGGCCTCCGATTTGCGTTTCTTCTACTTCATGATTAACTTAGATATGGTGCGGCGAACCGTATAGTGCCGAATAACCAGAATGTGAGGTTTATCTATACCTAACGTGTCAAATTTATGTGATAAAAACGAGATTAATCGTAAGATACACTACATATAGGACGGTGGCACAGTTCTCTAAAACCAATAGGCAAAGTTCTGTAATTTTAACCTTGACTGAGTTTCAATAGAATATATATGAATAAATTAATAACGCTTTGATTATCACTATGAGAGTATCTATTGACGATATTTCGACATACTCCATAGCTACCTTATCTTTTATCTCATGTATTTGACAAACAAGGTTATAGTATGCCCAAGCAAGAAATAACGTACCTGTCCATAGGCGAACATATTGTTATGCGTCTGTGAGGGATTGACCTTTGAGAGGAGGAATCTAGCCTGACTGGCTCCATGTTCCGTGTCGATATAACGGGGAGTAGGAAAACGGGTACGCAGAATATCCAGGGCTTCTGTCCGGGGTTTCTCAATCACTGTCTTGAGATAGGAATATTCTGGCATTTCCTAAAAAATAAAAGTTGGAAAATAAGCTTAATATATTAATTGAAATGCAAGAATAAAAGACTTACAAGGTAGCCAGCCTTACGCCATTTGGCAATATTCTCTCCAACATAGATGAGAATATGGAAGAACGAATCCATTAGAAGCACGGTATCAGGTTGGATACTAGTTGAATCCAACAGGACTGGTTCATCAGTACCATCCATTTTGAAAGCAATCAGTGAAGGCTGAATCATCAATAGAGCATTTGAGCAGTCCTCGGTATTCAGTACATGCCTAAAAGGAAATGCACAGGAAACTTGTCAACTCGGTTGCTGAAATGACATTTAAGTAGGTAGAGTTCATACAATGACTTACCGATAGTAGGCAGTCTCATCAGGACTATTATTAAACACCTGTATGAAAGATGATCGTCGCAAATGGAACATGAATTGGGGGAAGAAAGAGAATTCGTCGGGAAGACGGAAAGAGGCAGCATCATCTTTGTGATATTCACCGAATTTACGACACAATTTGATCAATTGACGATCCAACCATCTAGGCAGTGATAGAAAAGACTACTGATTTAAAGCGTCCAGCAAATTTGACTTTCAAACAAAAAAACACAGGAGTGAACAAGGGCAGGTCTCAACCAGTAAAAAGATGTCATAACCGTCAGTTTAACACAGAGAGCCCTGGTTGAAAAGAAATCACATGAGCAGTAATGAACTCATGCATTAAGCATAGCGGTTTGCTGTCGTAGTGACCTTACCCGTGACGACTACAAAATGCGAACACAAACAATGGCATTTTAATAGATTCTAGAAACGACTGATATTAATAATAAGAAGTTAACCTACTGCTTAACCTATAAATTTGATAGGCTACTTGATACATCGACGACAATGAGTAAGAATGAGACTTAAAAAGTATAAAAGTTATTTAGCTAACCTCAGTGCATCTCGCCCATCGGCAGTTTCCGCCTTGAACATTGCCATACGAGCAATGAGGACAGCAGCGGCCTCCTGGTCGAAACCGGCAACAAGGTAGGGATGTTGAGTGGCAGCATCAATACACTGACGACAAGCCGTAGTAACACGAATACGCCTTTGTCCGGAAGCGTGCTGGTACTGGGTCACCAGTTGGACATAGGCTCGACCAGTTCCACTACTTGCATTGGCTTGACCATGAGGTTGGGTCATTTCAAAGAAGATGCCCAACGTGGATGAGGGAGTTAGGCCATTTAAACGCCATACAGAGGTGTGGCCGATACCCACTTCGTTTTCACTTGTACTGGGCGTCTTTACATTGGCGGAGAAACAACTTCCAATGCAGCCTGACACTTTAAGCTCGCGAGAGGTCTGTCGAGAAGAAATAAAAATATAGTGATAACTCCAAGCCCATTTAGGAAAGGGTTCTCCAAAGAACACCTCGAGTAGAGGAACAACATCATAGACATCCACTGGGAAGGCTGAATTTAGCCACCCATTTTATTAGCCAGACATACTCAGTGTGGCGTCCATCGAAATACACAGAATCCATGACCTCTGAATGCATAAACTCAATGTTAACTACTCCGACACCTCCACCAAAGAGGGAGTTGCTAATAGAGTCTACGGCTGGACTGGGAATCCCAACTAACTAGTTTTACTTTTAAAAGATATCAAGCCGATTTTCAAGGAAACCGAATTACGACCCTTACAATTTACAAACAATGGTTACATTAGGCATATTTTTCAAAACCCTCGAAATAGGTGTAAGAATGTATAGAAAGCTAAAAAAATCGAGGAGAGTATTACGAACTAATTCTGTGAAAGTTATACAATCGAAGCTCCGGCCAGCGAACTGATCTCACCATGTAAGCAAACAAACCCATTTCAGAGATCCAAAATATCCAGCTATATTCTAGGGAGCACTCACCTTAACTTCTAGCTGACCAGCAAAGCCCATTTTCAAATGGCCAGCAACATCCTTAGAAAGGAAAATTTGGAAACTCTGAATGAAGAGATTTGAGGCGAAAGAGTCACACATAGTCATATTGCCACCAGTGTAATTAACCAGATAGCGCATTTCATGCAGACCAGTTTGATCCAAATGACAGCTGAAGATATCCACAACATGGCCGTTTTGTGCTGCTCTGTTAGCTAGGCCCTCATAGTGCTAAGAATAAGAAAGCGTGAATTAGATAACTCAGAAAAGTACACTTTGTAATATAAGAAATTAAAGACAAACCTTGATGGCCTTTCTCATATGAGGACAATTATCCTTTTCAACATCATGATGAGAACGAATGATATTTTTGAGGTCATCATCAATGATTGTACCTGGTCCTTGAGTTCCTGGACCACCTAAGAAAGTGAGAATACGAGCACCAGTGTTGGGGAATGCAGCTTCCAAGAGCCCGACTGCTATGGAAACCGCGGCACCGCAAGAACGCAGAGTACGATGACCTTGAGGCACAGGCCACGGATCAGGTGTCAATTCAGACAATAATTCAATCAGAGAGGCAGAGCAACTTTCTATGGGTTGAAGGAAGCTAAAGGTGGAACACAGCTTAGTAAGTTCTTTAAACAGGGATGTAAAATAGCACCAGAAATGCTGATATTAAAGGAAAATTTTACTAACATAAGTGTGAGCAATAAGCCTAGAGGTTGATTATCCTGTAACGTTGGAAGTTAGCTGACTAGTTAGAATAACAAAGGTGTTAAAAAGATATAATGAGAAAGAATTCATCAGCCCGAAAAAATTCTGGTCACCCAGAACTTCTCTGTCCCAAAATCCTATTACGCAATCTCACTCTTGACAAATACGGTTGATCATATCACCCACTGTGAAGCCACCAATGAATACAAATTCGTGACCTCAGACTATGTCGACGCCTACGTGAACCCCTGAGGTGAATATTGGGATTACGATAATAAATTTACAGCCTCCACTAGGCATACTAAATCAAATGCCTTTAGCCTAAAGTCCAAATACAAAAATTTTGATTAAAGGCGAAAAATTAAAATAATTAACTGAAATGGTCACTCAATCATGTGATTCATAGTATGTAAAATAGATAGAAAAGAAGTCCATATTCAAATGCGCACAGTGCTTAAGAGCGGCTTTATGTATTTTGGATTTCGGTAACAAGAAAGCATAAGCAAGGTCTCTAGCTTTCACATTTAGAATAGTGATACGTGCATTAAAATGAAAATTTTATGATAAATGACCAATATAAAGCTGTATAGACGGGCAACGCTCACTTTCATGAACTTATGTAGATTGTAATAGGAAACCACATTGTAAATTACCAAAAATAACAGAGGGGTTTAAGAGCTATGGGATGCAAATAGAATAAAAAAAGGACCTAATATGGTCTGGTAATTGAAAGACGGTAGGAATTTATTACCGCGCAATTCATAACAGAGAATAGATATTCACCCCCTACCTTTGAATAGGCTTAGCATTTAGAGATATATGCCAGGACCGCAATCACTTTTGATAAAAAAGAGAATCGAACCACCCAAATAAGAAACTAATGTATATTTAGAAGCCAAAAAAGTGAATTACCGATTTTGTGGAAGACTTCCTGGAGCAACGTGATTTATGGGAGGCCCAGGATTTCTTACGGCAGTCCCATTGCGACCAAGACCTAACATGGACTAAAAAAGAGGAATAAAATAATAATATCAACTAAAAATAGCACGAAATCACAAGCACACTCGAAAAGAAAAGGGGAATCAATTACACGATTGCTACTACTACTACTGAATAGCAGGGATACACAAAGGAGGAAGACGTTAATGGGAGGAAAACGATTTACAATTACACTAAAGGAATAGAATTAAATCTACAACCGATTTTTTGGTCAACTTACGCGAAGTTCCTATAGCACAAGAGAGTAAGATGAAGCGAGAAAATAAGGATAATAAAAAACAGCAAACTATGAAACAATAAAACTGAAAAAATAGGATTAGAAGACATACTTGAAGTTGTTCGCCAATATAATCCTTAGTGCCCTTGAATACCCAAGATTTGGCAATAGAACCACTGTTTAGTTCATGAATATGAACCATGCGACCGAAAGTAATCAGACCAATCATGCAATTGGGTGGTAGTTTAGTGATAAGCTGCAAAATGGCATTCTAAAAGGAGATGAGCATTAGCTAAGTACAATTTGTTCTTACTCGTAGAGCATTAAATTCTGCTTCTTCCAAGCACGTATCCATAACGACAAGAAAGACGGGTGGTGGCGCAGGAGCTTTCTGGATAAGAAACAAAAGTTATAAACGAGACTTAAGCTGAAAAAAGATAAATAAGTAAATTCATTACCGCAATTGTGTACTCAATGGTAGTAAACTGAGGCATAAGCTCAGCAGGAAGATTTTGTTCAGACATGCCGTCATATTGAGGGGGAAAAGTATTTCTTGAAGAACACAAGCAACAACTCCAGGATTTGGAACGAAGATCAATCTAAAAGGAAGAAATAAGCAAGTTAACTCAAAACATAAATAAAGAGGAATGGGAAAATTTACAAACCTGACAGAATGGGTTAAGTATACAACGGCACCTAGTGCAGACAACAGGATCATACGTAATTGGTGGAAGATTTTCCCGTTCTTTCATAGGTGTATACAGGCAAGAGACCGGAACGATAAGTTGCCCTGCGTCGACACGAGAGGCAGGCCAAGTATTCCACGAGAAACGGATACCATCGTTAGCTTCAGTTTGTTGAATATACTCGCTCATGGAAGCCATTGCAAAAGTTTCTAATGATACGCACCAAAGCAATGTTAAGACAAAAGGTGATCATATATAGTTTTCGTAAAATATGATTTCACAAAACCTACATCAAACGCTCTATTTCACAGTTAAACACTCCGACGTCACTCAACGCAAATGTCCTTAACGAGCCAGCCAGGAGCCTAATCGATATAAACAAAGTTAGCTTATTTTTTAAAAACAATGTCTTTTTAATGTTCGAAAGATTAAATAATATTTTTTATATTTCTTATTTATTTTATGGTTATATTTATATTTTTTGCTTTAAATTTAGTTCTTGTTGTAAACGAAAATTTAGCTTGCTTTTTATTTATTTCTGATAAATTTGAAATTTTTGTTTTGCACTTTAATATAATTAATTAAATTACCTTCCTATGTAAATTGCGCTTAAAATAAACTTCGTGCCCTTTCGTATTTGGCGTTTAAAATCATCTGTCTTCATTTGATATTTGTCTCTATGAAAAATGCCACGGAGTAATGCCTCTGCTACTCGGTTTTCTAAGAAAAGGAAAGGTAATTGCAAAAGGACTAGCTGGGCTGCTAATAATATCTTAAGTACATCTAGGAAAATTTTACAGAAAACTGGTAGATTCATCATAACTTTATGCAATTTATGTTAAGTCTAGTCGTCAATCTGGATCCATTTGTGGAATCATTGAAAAAAAATAATTCTGATCTTGCTCGAAAGAACGTGGAATTACAGAAAGAAATAGACGATAAAGCTGATGAAATTTTGCAATTACAAAAAGAATCATTCCAGACAAGGAGTGAATTGCTTCGTCTTCAGAATTTTAAAGATAGTGTATGATATTAAGTTTTCTTTATTTCTTTAGGTTATTTCAAGTGGCATTCTAGAAAAACTTATGCTAATATCAAGCGATGCTTATCGTTTGCATGAGGTCATTGCTAACGCTTCTCGCAGAATTGATGTTTCTTCATCGTCTTTTGATCTCTCCGTTGAAGGCTCCCCTAAAGAAAGTCCCGTGCAGAGTCCTCTTAAGTAACTTTCACCCTTTAATAGTGGCTTAAATTTTTTGGACGTTTTTCTAATTTCTTATCTTTTAACTTAGAATTACTTCGAATGTTAGGAAGCCCAGTCATACTAGATTGTCTTATCAAAACTACCGACCGACTGCTCGATCAGTTGAAATGGAGATTGACAATTCGCTTTCTTCCCCGAAATTCGTAATATTTATTTGTTGACACGTTAATTTAATTTTCATCGCTTTTAATTTTAATAGTTTGTCAACTCGAATATTTGTAGTTCTCGCCTGAAGCATTGTGTCTCCTTTAACTTTTAATAATATTGCATTTCCTGTTTATTTATATCTTTAATACCAATCGGTTGGTACATACTCTGCGTGCCGTAATAATTAACGTTTTGTTGCTTTGTGACTCTTTAACTGGTGCCCCTTTTATTTCTTATTTAAATAAAATTTGTTATCGAAGTTGGTGGTATTCATTTTTCTTATCATAATATCTCCTTGATGTTGCCTATCTTTGTCCTAGGTATGTTTTTTCAATTTGCTGTTAGTATTTATGATTTCCGTTCCATTTTAAAACTTTTTATTAATCTACTCACACTACAGATTATTCAAACTTGTTTTCATGCTTTCAAACATGCAGTTTGTTCAATAATGAGAGAAATATAATTCAAGTTTAGCCTTGTCTGAAATTGCCATAGTTACTCTTGTATGGACCGATTTAGAGTTACTCTATTTTAGTATTTGTGACTTCTGTAGCACCTTGGTTAGTATCTCGACTTCTTTGACAAGACTTGTCCTTAGATTTTCCTAGAATTTCACTCAATCTCAATTTTTAATCTCCTTATTTATCAGTGGTAAAATAATCATCGACTTACTAGCTTTCCTTACTCTTTGTTTTCTTTTCTGTAGTCTAATCTTTCTGTAACCAGGCGGACTGTTTTATTGGATTCGGATAATGTAGAAGACACTGTGATGTCTACACCTCGAAAGACCGTGAGCATTTTTTTATCTCTACTTCATTTTCTTATATTCGTTGCTTTCACCATTTGATAGCATAAGTAGTGCGAATTAACCTCTAGACTTTCAGCTTATTTTGAATATCTTTTTTTGATAGCTGCTAAGGTTAGGTGAAATTTTCATAAAATCCCTCTGATGGTAGAGTTAATTTAATTTGTAGGAATGATATTCAAGTAAATACACTTAATTGTATTAGTATATATGACATTTGCTGAGACTTTTTTCCCCTTTTTTACAGTGCAAACTGTCTTCAGAAAGACTATCTGCTCCTGTATCTCAGGTCGACGAAAACGATACGGCCGTGACTTCTCCTAACAAATCTGTAAGCACTGTTGGAACTTATGCTTAAATCGCTGCTTTGCTATGGTCTCTGTAGAGGAAATATATGCGACACTAATTGTTCGAGTAGATGGGTAGTTTGCAGATGTTTAACCTGAATAAAAAAAACGAGATATGTATGTGTTTTATCATAAGGTCAAGTTCATTTCAGCATTTATCTCAAATGGGTTAGTTGGTGTTAAAATTTTCTGGTTTATTTTCAAATTGCCCGCTATTTGAGTGTTCAACGTGCATATCTACCAGATCGTTGCTCCTCGGTGTGCACCCGGTGATGTGAATTTACAGTTCTGTTAACTAGAAGGCTTAGAGCAATGCGAATTTTTTTCATGGTGGTTCCGGACTACCTCTGACAAAGTCCAGCGTTCTGAACATCTTGGATATTTTGATGCTTTTTTTCATGCGAATGTCTAAAGTTAGATTTGTGTTCTCGCATGCGAAGCCATGAACTGTATTGAGATGAAGCATTTGTGCTTGAAATTCATTTTGTCTCCTTTGTAACCCTTTCTCTTTTTGTTAATTTGTACAGTCAGAGTTTTCTGTAGACAAGAATAACGAGGATCAAGACGTCGATGTCGATGAAACATCTACGACTTTGCCTTTTCGAGAATCTGTAGGTGCTTTTTTCTCATTTTAATATAGTGGATCTCTCATTTTTTGTTGTTGAGGATCTGATATTTAGTTTTCCAGGAAGTCACATTTGCTTGTTCTTCAAGTTACTATGCTTAGATTCACTCGTTTTTCCCTATCATCTACCGCATCTACTTGACGCTTTCTTAGTTGGTTTGTTATTCACTTCTAAGCATTCCCCTAAATCTCATGAGTGGCTAACTGGTTTCTTTTCAACCTTTTTTGTTTTGTTTTTTTAATAGAATTGATGCTATTTCATTAATGCTGCATTTTTTCTCCCCTTATAGTCCAAGGGTTCTTCAGGCGGTCAGGCTGTATGCGTCTCTCCTACAGATGGAAATGATTTTAATGTTGCAAAATCATGTCGACGAAGCCTATCTCCCTCGGATGATGACGATTTGAGCTCTTCTAATCACGACCCCGACTATGCCCCTCCTCTAAAACCGAAGCGGAAGAAGGCAGTGGTGACAAGAAAGACTTCTAAGGCCTCCGGAACTCATCCTCTCAAGATTTCTTTTACATCAAAAGATAAGGATAAAGATTCTGATATAAATTTGGATTCATCTAAACCAATGTCGAAGAACGTGACACAGTCAACTAAAACGTCTTCTAACTCTGAACCGTATGTTCATTTAGTCTTTTTTATTCTCGTTTCAGGTAAATCATGGGGCTTTGTATGATATTGCATTACCTTTACCCATTTTTTTCTGCATTTCTAAGTTCGTATAACTTGATTTTTAAGTGAAGCTCCTTAGAAGGATTGGGAGTAGGGTAAGTTGAACAGATATGTATGTGGATTTCTGGATCTTGATGAGCGTAGGTATTTTTTAAGAGAATTCGGTTGAAGAAAAATCCTCTGAAGTATGTGTGACCAGTATTCCATCTAGTAAACGATTACGGTAGTCACAAGTCTACTACTTTTAAAAGCTTTTACAGATTTTAATAAATTAAATTTTGAGCACAACTTTCCTCCACCGATTTGCTTTGTGCTGAGGTTGCACTAGGGTTGACATCGGCCTTGAACTCGCATCTACATTTCTTGACTTTTATTCTTCTTAATTCTTGTCGAGGATACTATGTAGTTTCTCAGTTGAAAGCGTTTCAAAATTGGATTGATTTATTGAATGATTTTGAGTTGTAGCACATCTCTTGGCTACAGTCCTGGCCTAGTATGTGCGTTCTCAGCTAAACCGTACTAGATTTTGGCACTTATTTGTACTTTTACATTCTGATAGTTCATATTTATCTGTGGTGTTTAATTTGCTGAATTTAGTTTTTTTTTAATTCATTCAGAACTCTAACTGCATCTCCTATTCCGTCCAACTTGAAACGGAAGAAAATGGAGTACAACGAACCTGATGTGATAGTAGAAGAGAAGAAGTTAACATTCGAAAACCAGCTTGCGGAAGTATATGGTGAAGATGAATTGGAGATGGAACAAGATAAGGTGGAGCAAGTTAGGGTTGAGGACGAAGGTGCTTCAGAAGCAGTAGAGAAGAAGGAGGAGGCGAAAGAAGATGAAGTCAAGAATGACGTAGAAGGGATAATTACATCCACAAAACGCAAGGTCAGGAAACGCAAGAGATGTCTTCGTTTGGTAGCAGAGGACTCCGTCTTCATCCCCATCTCTGATATGACAATGCAGGTGGCAAGGGGCAATAATAAAGAGAATGAAACTGACGACACCACTTCTGCGCATAATACTGACGAAGATGCAACTTCTCCCAAGAGTGAATTAGAAAATCAACCAGTGGAGGCTGCGAAGAAGGAAAACGATGTGAAAGAAAACTCGGAAGTAAGTTAACCCCTAAAGTGCCGTTTTGAAAACGAAATTTTATATCGCCAGTGTCTCTTATCATACATATGCTGGTGGTAGTGCAATTAGAGTTTGAGTGCATTGTGCACAAATAATTATCATGTTGACAGCTCTCTGTGGTGGCCAAGAGCGGTGCTTCAAAATGTGTATTTCTAAGCGGTCTCCAGATTCATTCTTTCAATATACCAAACTAGATGTGTTTTTAGGCCCCAAGATTTGGAATGCGGTGCTCTCCATGAAATGTTGAAATTTTTTTTATTTACGAAGAATATTTAAGACAGTTCATTAAAATTGTATTTGAGTTTAACTTTAATGCATCTGTTCACTTAATGCACTTTACGATGCTATGTTAATTAAAAAAGACGAGAACATAATTACAATTACAAATCATGTAGATTGCGAGCAATAGTCATTAAACAAAAAATTACATCTTCCACCTTTTGGCAACAGAGCTACTGTTGTTGGGGTTATTAAAGTAAGACAGTGGAAAGGCGTCTATAGCTCTTCTAAGATTGCGTACCTTACTGAATCATGGTAGTTCTTTTTAACATTTGACGAGGCACTAATCTCCTAACTAGTGAACGCTAGAATAACACCCAATTTGTCTGACTATGGGTCAAGGGGACTGAATAAGCTTTTTGAAGGTAGCGAAATGAGTTTTAGTGCAAGTTATTGAATTTGAATGTGAGATTAATGGAGTAAATTGCACACTGTAATTGGATATGAGTATTCAGATGTATATTATCGAGAAGGGAGAGAAAACACAGGTACACCAGGAGCCGTGCATAGCTCATCTGTCGTTGGGTTTCTTCTGTTAAGTGAGAAGGTGCTTTTGAACGTTGGGTGGATATATATATTTATATCAAATGGCAGGCGTTATGATAGGTATCATTAGCCCTTTAGTTGACTTCCGGCGTTATGATAGGTATCATTAGCCCTTTAGTTGACTTCGTGCTTCACAGAAAGGTAGAGGAACACCACAGTGGCAAAAGTCGAGAGGGGGGACAGAATAATGATTCACAGACGTAAAAGAGACAGACAGACACAAAGGTAGGAAAAAGGTGAGTACTGTGGAATTAGTAGAATATGACACAGTGGGGTCATGGTAGTTGGAAGTCAGAAGTCAACTGCCGATTAATAGACTTTTTTGCCGTATGAGTATACGTTGCCCAGGGTGCACCACGTGGAGGTAAATCTATCGCACACCCCGGGTGATCAAATATTACATCCGTTCTATTTGGCTGAAGCGATTTGAAGGGGATGCGAATTTTCAAAGCTTTGCCGATCCCCTTATATTCCACTTTTATAGAGGGGTAAGTGGTTTAGTAGAATCAAGACTACTTCGTCTGTGTATGAACAAAGACACATGAGTTAGCCCTTTAAGGAAAGAGAATTGAATCACAAGCAAACAGAGTAAGGCATAATACCCCCAATAGACAAATAAAGTAAATTGACAATTGGACGCTATCATTGACGCAATATGGCTCAATCAGTCAAGGCCTGTTGGGGTGGCTTTGTAGAACAGGTCTCCAAAGTCACGCAGTGGTAAACGTAGCAATATACCTTTCCCTATTCAGTTGCATGTGTTTAAGAAGTACTATAAGAAGCGAATTTTCTTATTAAATTGGCTGATAAGTTGGATTTTATCTTACTGCATGTATTTGGATAAATAATTTAGTTCCGGCCATTACTCGAGAATACTAAGCCATGAGGAAGTAGTGTAAAGTGCAAGGTAATTCATTGATTTGGTTAAATGTTCCCATGGAGAGGTTATTTTCACTATAGATGGAGGGAAAGAATAAAGTATTTTTTTATACTTTCATTTTTTCATTGACAAGACTGAAAATAATAGCAGGAAGTTGTGGACTTCCTTCAGCAAAATTAAAAAAAAAGTACGTCGAACATTTATCCTTAGGTCAAATCGAGGGCGAAAGTGTCCGCTTTGCGATCGAAGAAAGAACAGGCTAAAGCCCCGGAACATAAGAAATCCCGTACTGAGGTAGTACATATATTCTTGCAATTATCTTTATTAAAAAATCCCCCCCCCCCCGGATAATCAAATGATTTTTTTCTTTCATTTCATTTTAGTCTAAAAAGGTTAGATTCGCCTTTTGTGTTAGTTTGACTTTCCTAAATGTAATCTATTTGCTACTAACTCATTAGAGGCTATAACTCTGTCATTATTTAGGTGGATAGTGAGAAGCCTGCACCTCGAACAAAAGCCCTTTCAACAGAAGCTGCAGACAAGGACTCAGAAGTTGAGGTAATGTCCATTGGTCGCTCCTTAGCATTTAACTTCTTACCTCAGTGTACTCGTCATTGAAATGATTGATGAAATCAGTAATGATGATTCTTGCTCTTTTGTATTCCCAATGTTTTTGTTTTAGGCCAAACGTTCAACCTCATTGTTGGATAATAGAACTAGGTATAGGCACATTTTTTAATGTTATATTTTGCCCTCACTGCTGGTCTTTGATTGTTTATTGTTTTTCAATTATCTAGTCCGCCACCATCACCTCATCGACCCCGTCGACAGGCCAGGGCTTCTATTTCCTACGTAGTCAAGCTCAATACGTGAGTATTCTTTCAAAATTGCTATTAGTTAATAGTGTTAATTTTAAAGAGAAAATGACGCGTTAATACGCACATTAAGGTTTAGGAGGTGAAATAGACTTCAGTTGTGCGTTTTTATTAACATTATTTATATGAAATGGCAGGCGTTTTGATAGTTATCATTAGTCCTCTAGTTGACTTCAGGCTCCACAGAGGGGAAGGAACATCAAAGTGAAAAAAATTCGAGAGGGGGAGGGGAACAGAAGAGTGTTTCATAGATGTAAAAGGGACAGACAAAGGTAGAAAAAAGGTTAGGTGAGTACTGAGGAAGTGGTTGAATATGACATACAGTGGGGTGATGGTAGTTTGAAGTCAGAAGTCAACTGCCAGATAATAGACTTTTTGCCGTATGAGTATACGTTGCCCAGGGTGCACCACATGGAGGTAAGTCTATCGCACACCCCAATTTTATTAACATTGTAACTTGTAGAAACTTCTTGTCTTGGGATATTCGAGGGGGTTATGTTGATAGGTGTTGGAGTTCAGTTTTTCAGTGTAATAAGAGGGTTTGTAGACTGTCGACGCCTTTGTGGAATTCATACAAATCCTGCAAACGGAGTCGAGCAGGGACGTAGTGACTAGAGTCTTGGCAACAGAAGTGTCTTGTAGCCTTGAGCTTCTCTATCCCTTTTGTATGGTAGTTGGCAAAGTTCAACTTCTCTTGTACTGCATGCTTTGATGTCGGCATTGTCGACCTTTGGATTCCTGTGGGAATTTATGCCTAACTAACTGCTTAGTACTTTCCTTGTCACCTGATTAAATCTATACCATTTAATAGACTGAATAACTGGTAGTAGGTACTATCTGGGGGGTGTTTTCAGCCTTTTTACAAATATTTTTTTGCTGGCTTGTCGTTCTTGTTATCTTACTTAAC